TCTCTAGCCTTTTCTCCATCCTCTCTCCAAAACCTCTCCCACTTCCGTTGAATTGGTGTCAAACCTTGTAAGCACTTGATTTCTGTAACCCTGTACAATACAGGAAATTGAAATATTAATGATTTATTTTCGTTTACACGAATGCTATTTTCCCTGTCATTGATTTAGGGCTCGAATGGAACAAGATTGAGGATGACCAGTATACACTGGTAATTACAAGATTGGGGTTGCAGTAATTCAGCCTCAGTCAAATTGAGGTAAAGACATAGGGTGGCCTTGTTATATGCTCAACAAGACATCTTGACCCCAACCCACTAGGATAGAGAAATGAGGGAATGCCATTTCTTGTTCATTTGGTTGATATATTGAACAAGTCAACTCAAACAAAGTTGAGTAGAAGGACTAAGGGTCGAGTGGGATTGCACACTTTGGAAAGAGGTTGAACAAGACAACTAGACAGTGACTGAAGTAAAAATGCTAATGGTTGAGTGGATTTGTTCATTTTGTAAATATGATGAACAGATTACCTTGGCCCCGATTCAACTTGAGGTACTAGGAATTCACTTTGTTTGTCTTAAAATATATGCTTAAAAGAACCTTAACCCCAATAGAAGGAATTGGGCTTCGAAGAAGCTTGTTTACTAAAAGATATATTAAACAAGGCAACTTAACTGCAATCACGAGGAGGCACTACGGGTTGATTTGAGTTTATTCACATAGAAAATATGCTAAACAATGCCATGTGACCCCAGTTGGGTGGCAATACTAGGGTTTTAGTAGGTTTATTCATTTAAAAAATATGTTGTATAAGGCAACTCAACCACAAACAGTTTGAGATACTAAGGGTGAAATAAATTTTTTTACTTTAAAATTGTGACCCACAAACTCAACTTATGCTAATTGATAAGAATGTAAAATGCATAGTTTTTCCTCTTTATTTAATACACTCGTATGATTATTTTATGCCAAAATGTACTAATTAATCTCATATTTTGGTTTAGGTGGAAATTTAATGGATATGACGTAATTTGAAAAAAATAAGTGAAAAGGGGTCAACATGGAAGAGAGTGAAAGTTCAGGAACTAAAGTACAAATACTCTAAACTTGCTTCTAACCTTCTGATGATGAATCTAGAGTGTTAGAGGACAATTGGAAGTAGGAAGGAGTCAAATGGATGTAACAAAACCGAATCATTATCATATATCAACTTTCAAGCTGAAAAGTNAGAGGTCAATTGAATGAAGGAAGGAAGGAGTCAAAGAGATGAAACATAACCAAAACATTATCATATATCAACTTTCAAGCTGAAAAGTTTTGCACCGGTTTTCAACCTCATCTTGAGACCAGTTTTTGACATGGTAGATGATCGAATTCGAAGATGGTATCTGAAGCAAAGTTGTAGCCCTTTGAGTTATCTTTCCAACGCATCTTGAATCGTCTCAATCAAACATCAGGAGAGGAAGTTATGACGAAAATACTAAAGATGACGCAGAATTTGAAACAACAACATAGCGCCCAGGCTCCTTGTTGCCCAGAATTCAGCTCCCATAGCGCCTAGGCGCCGCATAGCGCAAATTAGGGTTTTTTTGTATGTATGGGCCGTGAAGAGCCTAAAAAAAACCCAAAACACATTACAACCTCTCTAGCCTTTTTTCTCTCTATTTTTTTAGATCTATCATATGTAACTAACT